CTTAAACAGGCTGAAAGGATGATGACGATGACTGTTGCCCTAAAGTGCATAGTTTCCAAGATATTGGCCAAAAAAGTATTTTCACAAAAATAGCTAAAAGATTCTCTCTATTCTACTACCTATTCTATTCTACCAGAATCTGTTAGCATTTTGCGGTTTTATCCTCATTAAGTGATCCTAAACAATATCTTAAACTAGCTCGGTAGTTTAGTGCGAAGTTGACCAAAAAAATAACTTCCAATTTTTACTGGACCATAAGAGTGTTTTCTTTTCAAACAGCAAACACCATTATTAATGTTTGATTAAAAGTTTTAAAAATTTTACATATTAATTAAAAAATTATTACCCGTAGTTCAGTTAATGTATTCAGAGTGAAAAACATCCATGTCAGTTACGCCTTCATATGCTATACGGGCTTTGGAAACAAACGGGGCGTGCGAGCTTTACGTAATTATGCAGATCTGTAGGTAGTTCTTTTTTTTAAAAGCCTATTAAATATCGGATCATTCATTGGATGGAAACATGAAGCTATTATGGAAACTGCGATGTAGAACGCGTATGTAGGTACACGATAATATTATAAGTTATGCGAGGCAAAATTAAGCGACGTGTGAAAGAATGATTAAACGATTTATGGAATTATCCCTGATCTATTATATATTTCAGTTTTCTCATATCAATGGGCACAATATAAGCGTAGTTTTATTAAAACTTTTTTATATCATTTAATGAATTCTGAAAACCTGAATAGTTTGTTCTTTTATTTTTATCAAAATTTTAAGTACAATACAAAATACAAAAAAAAAAAACAAAAATATTTATTTCATTAACATGATTCATTTACAGTTAATAAGTATTACGAGCTACCTTTTAAGCAATAGTTTTGCATGTGTTAGGCAGCTCCGCTCTTCCATAGCATACTTATAATGAACTTAACTAAATGCATTACAAATTTTTAAATCTAATTAAAAACAATGGGTGTGTATGTGTGTGTTTTTCTGTGAAGTGCGCATGCGTATTTGTGTGTTTGTGTTAACTCAGCATCAATTCAATTTCAGCGTAATTTTTAGCTTTTAGCCATTCCAAAATTAGTGCAATTTTGCATTTTGCGTATGTCATTTCGTAGATATTTCGTTCTTTATTAATTATATTGTATAAGACTATATAGCTCTTGTGACGGGGAACCTTTAAGAAGAGAGCACACTCTCTCTTAAAAGGCCGGCAACCGCATTTGTGAGCCCTCTGGTGTTTGCAGCTGTTCATGGGCTGAGGTAATCACTTAACATCAGGTGAGCCTCGCTTGCCCCTTTTCTTCATAAAAAAATCGGTCTCCAGCGCCTTGTAGAAATATAGATGTCCAAGGGTAACTTCACATCAGGTGAACCACCTGCTCATTTCACAGCTTTTCATTTAAAATAAAGTAGCAATTAAATAATTAATTAAGCACGGACCGCAAGGCTGGATGTTTGCTTTTTCATTGAAAAAATAATCGGATCGTTCGAAGCGATTAAAGAGGTATTTAATTTCGCGGTTTCAGTTATAAGCGTGTTGGAGATAAAATCTACTTATTCAAAAACGAATTTTCCAAGAGATTAAATAGTATTCCGTTGCAGTTTTTAATATTTTTGTGAAACAAACTTAATGATTAATTACATAATTGATGATTAAATACATTAAACTGAAATTGAATATGTATTTAATCATTAATTAATGATTAAATACATATTCAATTTCAGTTTAAAATTTGTTGGTGATTAAAATCTGTTTAATAAACAACAAATTATTCAGTGTTCTTCAAAAGTTAAAGAAGTGTTTGGTCTCTGTTCTAAACCTGTTTTGACCAATCCATTTAATTCCGACAAAAGATATTCATTAAGCTCATAGAATATATCTTGTATTAACTGATGTTTTTGCTTTCAGTCCCGAGACTATTAAAGCTTCATATGACGCAGAACCGGTGGGCTAGCCAGAACCGACGGATTTGGGCTCATAGAAGTTAAACTGTTGCTTTGAAACAGCGTACGTTTCTGCCGCTTCGTGTGTCCGACGGAGCGGCGTTTTCCATCGGGTCGTGACGTATCCGAGTTGATGCCTCGACGCGGGTGCACGGGCGCAACAACAGTTCAATTGGCAACGGCCAAGCGGGTGCCAGGCCGTGCCCCTTCGTTAGCGCTCCGCGTCCGGCCTTGTGCCAGATGCGGCGAACAATAATTGTGCCGCGTCGCTAATTGCGCGACACTGGCAATCGTTTTTACGGCGGCTGTTTGGTGAGCGTGGAGAGATGGCACCGAGCTGAAGATGCTAGAAGCAATACGTAATGACTTTGTCAACGCTCACATCTGTCTCGATAGGTTACAATAATAAGACAAAGTCGAAGAAACACAAAGGTTTTCTCAAAGAAGTGTTTTGTTGTCGCGCTACAGTTTTTGAATGATTTAATTTGTCAATTAATGATTCAAACACCATTTATTTGAAAGCTTACGGTTGCCGCTATAGACAGGCCGCTATGGCTCAGTGTCCGGGCGATCGCCTTTAAATCAATATACTCGAGCAACCTGAGTTCGATCCCCGGTGCCGGCACCAATGAAATTGTTAATTTCAAGTGCTGAATTATCGCGTGCTCCGCGGTGAAGGAAAACATCGTGAGGAAACCTGCATATTTTCAAAATAATAATTAAAAAAAAATATCGAAGATATGTGAGGTCCGCCAATCCGCAGGGGGGCCGCGTGGTGGGCAACGCCCTAATACCCTCTGTGCAGAGGAGGCCTTTGCTGAGTAGTGGGACATGTATAGGCTGATACTTTACTTTACTTTATAGACAAGTAGAATAAAGTCTATGTATTTTTAAGAAAAATCCATTTTTCTACACAAATCTTACATTGCACAATGTATAATATTCGCGTAAAAACAAGAAGTCAATATTGACACATTGAGATTTTGCCGATGGTGTGTTACGCCGTTTGACTCAGTGGTTAGTGTCGGGTGCGTATTCCGGAGTACGCAGTTATAAATCAAGCAGCGGCGAAAAGCTTTTCGTCAGTCTTCCTACAAGTTTTTATACCTCACGGATAAATACTTATATACACGTTTCTATGCAACCAAAATAAACGTTACAGACATAACGTGCAAAATTATAAGACTTAAATGGTGATGGGCTCGGCCCATGATAAGAGGAAAGGTAAATGCAGCAAGTGAGGTAAAGGTAAAGTGACAAGTTGGTATCCAAGAGAAGGAAAAGGAGTACATAACATAAAAGATGGCTTGATGACATAAGACTAGCGACAGGCGTAACATGTAATAGGGTGGCTCAAGAAGGATGTCAGTGGAAAAGATTGGAGGAGGCCTTTGTTTACTAGCAAACAGATCAATAGAGAATGAGTGAAATTCAAATAAAATATTAGATTAAGATTAGACACGTCACGATAACTGATCACGGTAGTAAATTTAGCATGGTTCAACTAGTACATTATATTAAATGACTAGCAATTGAACGCAATAAAATACTTATGAATTCATAGAGGACTATTTGTGTTGTTTCGGCGTACGCTCAATCTTGTGTATCTTCAATCTTACTTTTGAAATTTCGCATTGACTTCGATTTATCTCTAAACGAGATTTCGTTTCAATTTGTTTTAAATTTCGCGATTTGGAGACAGCTAAGGGCGGGGACACACTAATGCCCAAAATAAGGTTAATATATTGCTTTCCTTTCAGTTTTTTAGACTTTTAATGTTTACTCGCAATCAGAACTATGCTATCGAACAGCAGTGAAACCTTATCCTTGTAAAAAAACCAGCCAAGCCAAATCATGATTTACGGTCACACAAGATTTCTAAGTACCGCGACTTCACACAATGCCGGCGTGAAGTGGTAGTGTTCATCTCCTGCGTTTCGTCAGGTGAGTGAGGTAGCCGGGGCCCACTTTATTGAAAGGTGGTAACGCGTTTGCAACCCTACGGGTGTTGCGAATGTCCATGGGCGGGTGACCTTATTAATTGACGGTGGTAGGGTCATGCAGCAGCCTCGGCTGTTGCACGAATGGGCAGGCCCGTCCGGGTAAGTACCACGATCAAACAGAAGACCAGGGTAAAGTGGAAGTATAAAAAATACTTTCGCGTTTTGTCTGGTGAGTGAGGTAGCCGGAGCCCAATTTCCAAAAGGTTGTCAACGCATCTGCAACCCTCGGGTGTAGCAAATGTCCATGGGCGGCGGTTTTCACTTACCATCAGGTGAACCGTCTGCTCGTTTGGCAACTTTTAACATAAAAAAAAATTGAAAAAGAAATGTTATTGATACATACAAATGTTACTATTTTACTTGCTGTATCAGTACATAGTATAAAACAAAGTCGTCCCGCTGCCTGTCTGTCCCTTAGATCTTTAAAACTACGCCACGGATATTGATGCGGTTTTTTTTACTAGATGCAGTGATTCAAGAGGAAGGTTTTTATGTATAAGACATTGCACCCGTGCGATGCCGGGGCGGGTTACTAGTTTTTTTATGAAAAGAAGCCCTGCATAATAAACGTTGTTAATACAACGCACATTTCATGGAGCCACAAGCATCACAGGAGGTAGTTTACACGTAAAATTCTAAAGAACCTTCCTTGCAATTTTGAAATCGAGAGTAATTCGAATAACTATATGTGTAAACGCACTTTAACAGCGACACTCAGTGTTTTCAATGCGGCGTTCATGCCGTTTGAAGCGGTCGAGACAGGCTCAGATGTGCTGTTAGTGTGTGAATAATGCATTAACGTTTCGACTGCGCAGTGTGGAAAGGCGTCGACAGTGTGTATCAGTAATTGCTAAGCGACGATTGTCGATTGGATATTTTTTCTGCGCCTTTGACAAGAAACGGGCGGGCGACTCGATCCCGATACACTCTCTCATCTATATTCCGTTACACCGTCGACAGAGATATCCAGCGATGATTTATATCTTTAAATACATAATAAAAGCTGTTGACGAGTCTGCGCAGCGGTAGAACAGCGTCTTTACTCGAGCCGTGGACCCAAGTTCGAAGTGCCGGCCGCTGTATCGTACGCTCGACAGGAACTAGCGAGACATGGCCAGCTGTTGCGTGGCGAACGGCTCATTACGCAACATTGTCGGGGGCGGACGGGGAGCGGGGAAGTGGGGGGCGTAGGAGGAGGGCGGGGGGGGGGGGGGCATTCGGTTACACGCGTCTCGCCGGAAGGATGGCCGCGCCGCGCGCTCCGCATTTCATTAGCCGGCTTTTGTTTGGCGCATGCTTCCTTGTGCCCCTTGCACTTTTTGCACTGGCGGATCCGATGCAAGGCGCGAGCGACCTCTTTGTCTTCGCGTGTTTCAGCCACACTGCTGGGCGAAGCCCTCCTCCGCACAGAGGGTGTTAGGGTAGTCCACCACGCGACGACCATACTGCGCATTGGCAGACTTAACTTGGCTTCGATGTTTTTTTCCTTCTAAAATTATTGTTTGGAAATATGCTGGTTTCCTCACCGTGTTTTCCTCCGCCACGTTGCGCGTGATAAGTGAGCACTTAAAATTGTAATTAATAATTCCGGATTTAGGAACACAGTTTGCTTTCGGATGTACACTTACGGATATTGCCACGCTAGTGATAGCGCGGGCCCGGACAAGAGACACTGAGCTATAAGACATATAAGACATTTAATCCGTCACTTAAACTGTACACAATTATGTTACATTTAGTTACAGTTTAAATTTAAAAAAAAAACAACAATATAATGAATTCAAAAGTAACATAAAAGTAATAAAAAAATTTATAGTGAAAGTAAAACAAAAATAAAAGGTATTTATAAATTTTAAAGTAGTACGGAAAGGACCGCCTCAGCATATGCCGCGCAAAATTGCGGCGCTGATTTTCAGTCGGGCCAGGCCAAAGAGTACTTTTGTATATCTGAAATTTGTACATCTGATTTTTGTATATCTGGCCCAGGCGTCCGTAGGCAACGGACGTAGCTATCGGCTGAGGCCCTTAGAACCTGGGTGGTCCGATCTCAGTCGATCTCCGACTGTGTCAATCGTTTGCTGAGATTAGAGACGCGCTTGATTTGTGTGGGAGGGAAATGGTGGTGAGTCCGAACGACCACTGCGATCCGGTAGTCAAGAGACATTGTAAAATGTCTATTGTAGAAACGGACTAGCGCGTGTTTCGGGGTGGATCCAGTTTCACAAAAATTTGTGCAGGTCATACTGTATGATGCGACTCAACTATTCTGGACCACGTTTCACTTGTTTCCTTGTTTTATTAAAAAAAAACCTCCCGTTTTATGTACTAGATTTCGTTTGTAAAATTGGTATATTAGTAAAATTCTCATTCACAGACTTTAAGGCATAATAATGTCAGTAAAATACACTAATGGTCGTATTTCCCTATTATGTAACGTAAAAAAATACGTAAAAACTACTTGAAAGAAACCAGGAGAGGGCAAATATTATACAGTAAAGGATTCAAAACCCGTAATACCGAGTTTTTGAGTAGAGAATAAAATTAAAGTATAATTTTAGTGAAAAATATCAAAACTGACCGTTAATCGTAAAGAGGAAATCAAATTGTCTGTAATAAAAAAAACGTGCGTACACTAATTAGTTAAAAATTTGGCTCTTTTGCCTTTATTCTTTTGTCGCGAAAAAGACATTGAATGCAATTAATAAAGGTTTAATTAAATGTCTTGGATTTACAGGTTTTTTTTGAAATTGTTATCGGTTGCCATGGTAACGCCGTGACGATTGTCGTTTTGCAACCAACTTCATCATGTCGCTTTCTGACTGTCGGCTTGCGCGCTAAAATTTAACTCTCATAATTAATTCCAAACGCGTCAAAAGAGGCTATTTTGGGTCACGTGTAGACTTTGACAGCTACGGCGGAGGAGGTCCGCGGGCAGACGACCCACCACGGTATCGGGAGAACAACGTAGCTGCTGCACGACGACGACAAGAAGACGCCGTCCGCTCCGCTGTACTCCGCAACACCCTGCTAACGAAAGATAGACAATCGACCAATCGACTAACAAGGGGGGGGGGGGGGTTTGGGAGGGGGGGGCGACACGATCCAAGGGCGCCTCAGATGGAGGTTCGAATCTCGGCTTGGATCGCAATCGAATCAAAAGAAGTGTATGACTTCAAACGTATGATACAAGTTTATCGGACTTTATCGCGATTGTTTTAAACTGAAATTCCCTGCGCTTCGAATACTTTGCGGGATTCATGATGACGTGTCATGAAGTTTAAAACTCGTAAAAATATATTCATTTAGTATGCAGTATTAGTGTGAATGCACGAAACTGTTTTATAGAACTGTTATGAAAGTTTGCACAGTAAACGTGTTATTGTTTCGGTGAATGTCATAAACTAATATTGGCGTTAATACAGCTCCGTGTGAAGGTTATGTTTGCTTAGGGTCTCTTAGTAAAGGGCCTCATGACCGCAGTCCTGCCTAAACTGATCAAAATCTAATGTTATGTATGTACATAGACATTATCGTACAATTGTTTCCTTTAAGAACGCATAAGTAAAACACTTAGAGGTACTTTCCGGGACGGACCTGCCCAATCGTGGCGAAAGTCAGCTAAACAGCTGCTGCGTGGCTCTGCCACTATAACAATTTTCATGGATTTTTCATTTTTAATAGATGTATACAAGGTGTATACAAGCTAAGTGTACCAAAATAACATTTTTTTTTAAAAATTTTTGTCTGACTCTCTCTCTGCCTGTTTCGGCTAATCTCTGAAACGGCTGGACCGGTTTGGACGGGACTTTCACTGGCAGATAGCTGATGTAGTAAGGAGTAACTTAGGCTACTTTTATTTTAGAATTTTCTTTTATTTTAAAATCCACGCGGACGAAGTCGCCGGCACAGCTAGTATTGTATAAAGATCGACCGCCCGGACACGGAGCTATCGCAGCTCGTAATTATAATAAGTATCAGCTGCAAATAGCTTCTAATTCGTCAATAAATCCATCCGTCGTCAGAGTTCGGGCTGTCTTGGAAGGAGCTAGTAGAACTTACTTAGCAGTTATCGCGCCAACTTCCCGGGGGCGCATTGTGGACTGTGACGTAACGGAACCGAGACATGCACGTTACAGATTGGATAGAGTTGCGGTGGACGGCTTAACGACCGGTTTTTGAAACACTGATCATCTGAAGTTAATTAATCATCTGTTAATTTGGAAAAAGGATGGTTAAACTATTTGAATTGATTATACTGATCATCAAGATCATTCTGATCAACTCAGAGAGTTGACTCATCCTTTCGGCAACTTAAATAACATTTCACAATATTTGCAATGTTTGTATTACAAAAGCAGGCTGTACGGGCTGTCTATGGCTTCGGTCCACGTGAGTCATTACTGCATTTATTTAAGCGAATAAACTTTTTTACGCTCCCGCCGCTTTACATATTTGAGATCATCATTTATGTATGTAGTAATGTCCACCTATGTACGAAAAAACTTTCTATCGCATTGGGGCCGTGATAACACTGGAAGTACCGAGGTTTAGACTGGCTAAAACCAGAAAGTCGTTTCTTGGTAGATGCATCAACTTTTAATTAAATAGGTCTTTTACAAACAATTGTTACAAACAATTTAATAAAATATGTGACATCCACAAATAACTAAGTATAAACGATTTCAAACAATTTGTAAAAGCTACCCTAATGGCAAGGGCCTTAGATAATGTCCAAGAATACATTGAGGACAAGGATGTGTGGAAATGACTCGTGCTCTGCACTTGCAAAATAACAAGATACTTTGACAGTTTGACAGCTGATTAGTTAACTTCTGCGATGATCAGCGTTTGAGAAACCGGGCGTAAGTCTCACGGGCGGCTGATCAGTTTCCGATAGAAACTTTAGTAACTAACTAAGAAGTTGACATCAGTTTACGTAGCCTCGTGCAGTCTCCTCATAAATAGTGGTTTATTTCATTAGAGAGTGTATTAGTGCGGCAATTTTGTAAAGGAACATGGCATTTGCAATGTTCCGCACAGCTCGGAAAGTGTTTGTCAAACGGAGCATCCCTCCTTATTTCATTGTTCGGTACCGGGGGAATATAAAACATCCATTTATATCCTGCAGGAGAATTTATTACGAGGGACCATACTGACCCCCTGCGACCGTTCTTTGTCGGGAGGACGTAAACTCCGAGTAAAGGAGAAAGTTTGATCTTGAGTGCAGAAATTATCACTAAAAAGAAAATTAATATTTAGTGGTACATTTGAACGCACAAATTGAATTCATATAGCTAATTTCTGCACGTAGTATTATTCCGTTAATTTTTTTTAGCCTTTATGTGATCTTCCCGTCAATTTGTAGTCCAATACGATGCAATACTCCGATACTCTCTTATGGTATCATTTAGGATAACAAACCTATGAAGCATGAAATTTGAAAAGAGGTAAGTTACGGCTTAAATCAGGCTGCCTACTCGTACTCCCGACAAGTTCGAGTTCTGAATCGATCGAATTTGACTCGAGTTCGGGTCAGTTCGTACCAATGAATCTGACGCCGGCGCACAATCGAGCGATGACTCTACTTGAAACTAACTAAGATGGAATAATTTTTCGAAAAAAATTAAACAATTAACACTTTATCCAAGAAAGATGTTGTAACCTTAAACGTGGAACATTTGTCTTGTTGCTTGACGTAATAGGCCGGATGCAGTTAAAGGATTTGATAACGCACGGTCTTGTTTCTAGTTTCGATTCGGTTCGGTGGTAAGGTTTTCAAATCGAGTTCGAGCCAAGAGTGAGTTCGAATCGAAAACAAAAACAAATTCGAATCGAATTTGGGGAGAAACACGGCAGTCCCGTTTGATTGTTGTCGATTGCGATTGGAGTAAACCCACAACGATGAGCCATCGTGTTTAAGTTTACAAGGAGTTTTTTTAATGACGATTTTATCCTACGTATGCATTAATAGTCTATATGTTTATCTAAACGACAATCTGTATAATTTTTAAACGGCTCTCTGTAATCATTACTTGTTACTCTTACTCAGCTTATTTTGGCACTCTCGTTTTATTCGTTTTGATTCCATCACAATTAACAATTGAGTGTCGTAAAAACCTAGCAAAAATTCATTGCCCTTACTTTAGGATAACATTATCCTGTGTAGGACGTTTTACAAACATAAATTTCACTCGGAAAAACACCCAGGTGCGAAACAACTATCTGTGGATCATACAATAACTTGTCCCCAAAAACTGCTCCACGGGGTCATCCCAATGTTCAGCTTTTTTATTCCTTTTTTTACATCCCTAGCAAGTTTTCAACGTCTTTGTCATTCACCCAGAAGGGTGTAAAAATAGCCCGTCTACCAGGGACATTAAGTAGTTTTAATTTTTTTTCCCCTTCCACATCTCTTTCACTGTATATGCTACATTAATTGATGTG